CTTAAACAAGGAGTTATGGGAAAAGCAAATCTTAAAAGAACACATTACTTATTTTGCTTCTACAATTACCTTAATATTCAATCTATTAAGTTATCTAAAACTTTTCCCTATCAAAACCACAGTTTTCTCCCTAGCCATGGGTCTGCTAATGAATTCTCTAAACTCACAATGGAGACACCTATTCCGTGTCTTCTTCCCTTACACACCTAAGTCTGTTTCCTGTACTTCTAACCCTAAAGAAGCCTGGACTCACATTCCCTATTGCCATCTTCTCTTAAGAGTTCTGTGTCTGTCTGTGTGTGTTCTTGCTTTAACCTCATCATCCCTCACCCCCTACACACACACACACACACAGTGGATGGATACACATTCCTCCCTCCCCTTTCCCCACACTTCTGATGTAGTAGCATCTTCCTTTTGGAAAGATCCCCTCTCTTTATTGGCTCTGGTGAGGCCTTTGCCCCCCACCCTGAATGAGCACATGATTGAGCTGGGTCTACACATTTCTTTTCTTAAGATTTTACACACTGGAGGAGTGGGGTCAGGTTTGAGTTTCCTGGGAATTGCTAAGTAGGCGATGTAAGACTACAGCTCTGGGCCGGGGATTTAGTTCAGTGGTTCTGGTGCCTGCCTCATAAGTGCAAGGTCCCAAGTTCAATCCCTGGTACCAAAAAAAAAAAAAAAAAAAGACTGCAGCTCTGTGCAACTGTCATTATCACTGTTTCTTTCCTCCATCACAGGGGTGAGCTGATTAAAGGAGACCAATACACCAGATAGTCCTGCTACATGTTGAGATATGCAAGGCCAGTTACCATAAAGCAGTATTTTTTAACTAGTTTGAGTTGGGTTTTAATTACAACAGATTAAATCACATACAATCCTAATGGGCAAGACAGTATCCCCTGTAAATTTTATGTAGGAGTTGATATAATCCTACTGATACAGGGCACCAAGTAATCCAAATGAGCAAAATAATCCAAACAAGGGAACTATTTATAACTCCCGACCTGTTAGATATCTGAAATGCCAAGTTTATGTTCTGTAAAATTGAAGAATGAATTCTAGGAACAAAGGTTAAGAATAGGAAAAATTTATTGAGAGAAAGATAGCTTCTGTCTGAGACAGAAGGGGGACAGAAAGTGGGTTGCCCACCCACCTCTCTTCTCAAAGGGGTTTTATGGGGTAAAGCCACAAGGTGAGGTGGGTACAAAGTGAGACAAAACTATAAGATCCAATGGAAAATCACAAGGTGGGCATGAGGTGGGACAAAACCATGATCAGCCAACAAGATTACAAGTATAGTCACCCAGGTAATATTGATTAAATGGGGGTCAGATGGGGAAGCTAGTCACGAAGCAAGGTACATAGATTTCCAGGAAGGAATGGGCTAGCTAGGGATGGTTTGGTCCCCAGTTAAGGTGACTGACATTTATTTAGAATATTGATCACTGCTATTCATCCCTAGGAGAAGTGTATGGGTGTAGTAATTTCTCTCTTTTTAATGATACCCTTCAATTGAATGTGCCTTGTTTTCTATGCTGAGGCCCCAGCCCCTGTCCAACTGCCTTCTAACTTCTAATTTAGCCATTTGCAATACTACCAGACGGTATTAAAATGGATTCAGGTTGCACAACAATGTGAATATACACAACACTACTGAACTGTACACCTAAAGTGGTTAGGATGATAAAATTCTCTGCCTTTTAGAGCCACAAGGGGGGGCTAGAGAAAGAGAAATCAAGGGTATTATTATTAGCATTTCTTTTTAGCAAAACAGGAGAAACTGATTAAGTGGTCTGCCTAGCATTACATAACATGGCTACTAGGCAGCAAGACCAGGGCCCGAACCTTGCCTTTCATGTTCATACATCCTGTACCTTATCTGGCTAAAAAACTGTATAATAGATGCTAATCTGGATTCATAAAGATGGCGCAGCCTGCTCTCCTCTTAAATGACATCTTTAGCTAAACTTTTCTGTTTGCGTTTTGAGACAGGATCTTACTATGTAGTTACAGACTGACCTTGAATTCACTATATATCCCATACTGGCCTCGAACTCAGAGATCCTCCTGTCTCAGCCTCCCCGAATGCTCGGATTACAGGCATGTGCCACCATGCCCGGCTTCATGGCTAAATTTTAACACGCAGGTCTTAAGAATTTGTTTCACTCTGGCGATGGCCCAAACCTTTAGAGAAATACAGAATAAAGATGGGAAGCGCGCTTGTTCATGGTCTCAGCAAGCTGAGTTGGTACTTAGGATTAGGTACTGACTACCACGAGATGAAGCAGGAAACCCCGCGGGGTCGAGGAAGAAGTCCGAGCGCCATGGGGCCTTCTCGGGCCTGGCCTAAGCACGTCGGAAAAAGCTCAGAGCACCGTGGGGTTCCCAAGCTCCCAGCGCTACCGCCTCTCCCGGTTCCCAGGACTACCAACTCCCCCAAACTCTCCGGAAATCAGCTACTCGACCTCGGAAGCCGGGCCGCCGCTGCGCATGCTTACGGGCCAAGCCGCCGGACTACGACTCGCGGGATGCACTGCGGTACTATTGACAGATCGATCAGCCAATAGACACCGAAGTGTGTTCCTAAGGAGCCAATCCGTTATGGTGGAGGCGGGCCCTCCCACGGGTTGTTTCTTGTAGCCTGTGGGCGTCTCCGCGGCCCGTGGCTTCGGCCCCGCCCCCGGCCCTGCACCTGGGTTGGGGTCCTGGGTCCCCAGAGAGGTGAGTCGGCAGCTGGTGGGCCTGCTACCCTTCGCAGCTTGGGATTCTAGTGTCGCAGGCGTCTGCTGGAGCTCGGAATCTGCCGCACCACGGAGCCCCGCGCCCGTTTGTCACAGCTGCGCCAGGCCGGGGGCCAGCTGGGCCTGCGGGGCTAGCTGCACCGCGCGCTCGCGACCCCCAGCCCGCGCTGGCTGTAGGTGGTGTATTACACCGAAATGCCCGAGGTCCATGTGAGCCGAGATGCGGGAGAGTTAGTGCTAGCTACCTGTAAGACAGCTTGAACTTTTCCAGGGGATTCCTCCTCCAGCCCGTTAGGTCAAACTGCTCATTTCTTGTGAAATCGTGTGTGCTTATTACCGAAATAAACGAAATATTTCCCCAGTTCATTTTTAGAATATTAGGTCTTTTCTCTTTTACGAGACAATTTTTTGGTTTTGTTTTAACTGACGGGAAAACAAACTCCTCCTACGCCCAGGGATTGTTGTCGTCAGAGTTTGGGGGTAAAGACTAGCAAATGAGAAGGCCCTGTGTCTGTATCCATACTAACGTCCCCAGAGGAGCTTTGTTTCTCCCACCTTTCTAGCATTCAAAGAAAATTCTCCAAGGTCATGTTCCTGAAGGCTTGACCAATTTCCAAAGAGAGAAATTGTTTCCTGAGCCCCCAAGATGGCAGCTAAAATGGAGATAACTTTGAGCTCCCACAATCAGGCTTCCTCCAAACAAGAGAGACACATAATAACAAAGCTAGAAGAGAAGCGGGAGCCCAGTCCGCCAAAAAACTGCCCGGATCCTGAACTCTGCCGCCAGAGCTTCAGACAGTTTTGTTATCAAGAGGTGTCTGGACCCCAAGAGGCGCTCTCCCGGCTGCGACAGCTCTGCCGGCAGTGGCTGCAGCCTGAGCTACACACCAAGGAGCAGATTATGGAGCTCCTGGTGATGGAGCAGTTCCTGATCATCCTGCCCCCGGAGATCCAGGCTCGGGTCAGGCATCGATGTCCAGTGAGCAGCAAGGAGATTGTGACCCTGGTGGAAGATTTTCACAGAGCAGCCAAGAAACCAAAGCAGTGGGTAAGAAGGGCCCTCACTCTGGATCCCCAGTATTTCTTTCCCATCTAGGTAATGTTTTGTCTCGGGATCCCTTCCTGCTTAAAGCTCAGAAGGACTGGATGGTTTGAAAAATTGCTTCTAGCCTCTGGGAGCCCTTTTCTAGTTGTAACAGGTTTTCAGAAAACCCAATTATGGGATTCTAGTGAGGAAGCAGTGGATCACGGATCCCACTCTTTCGTGAACCTCATGTCCCCAGTAGTTTTAAAGTTCTTGAATCTCCTGTCAGATCTTCCCCCACTCATTCCCCTCAAAGTTTTCCTGCAGTCAGAATTCTTACCAGGGAGAATCAGTGTGTTAGATGGGAATTTTACTTGAGGGGAATTTCGTGTTCCAGTGAAGTGTCTGCCATATTGTCTTTGAATTAGAAAGTTGTAGCTCAGTTCCTTCCCACCCCATCCCTCAAATTGGACCCCAGCCAGGGCCTAGACAAGAAGCCAACAAGATATGCTTTGGAAAATGGAACCTGTCAGGGATCAGGTGGGGCAATCCTTCCAGACCTCTGCCACTACTGGATCTCCCTGCCAGGAGAGCCTTTAGCATAAGTTTATTAGATTAGAATGGGGGGGGGTTGTTTTGTTTTATTGAGACAGGGTCTTGCTGTGTAGTTCAGGCTGATCTTGAACTCACTGTGTAGCCCAGGCTGGCCCTTGTGGTGATCTCCTGCCTCAGGCTCCCTAGTGCTGGGATTCTGTGCCTGGCTTACAATGTTTTTTAATGGTCCCTTACCATACTGCTTCCTATTCCTACAAGGCCTGTTTCCAGAAGTCGAGAGGGATTTGGAAACAGGATAGGAATTTATGGCCAAAGTCAGTCATGATATTTGTGCCGCCTGTCCTCAGATAACTTTGACTCCAGGCTTTGTGAAAGGCCCAAGCTCTAAGGGGGAGCCACTTGGGAAGTATTGGCTAGCATAAAACAGCCTCATTCCTGCCATTCTGTGAGCCTTCCCTTGGCATCCTTCAAGGGTTTAAATGGTCTATATCAAATTGTCCTCTAGGTCATTATCAGGAGTTCCCAAAGTAATAAGTGGGCATGCTGCTCAGTTGGTCCTAACAGATGGTGTGTTAATGGATGGGGCTTGTTCCCAGGTGGCCGTTTGTGTGCAGGGGCAGAAGGTACTGTTGGAGAAAACTGGATCTCAGCTTGGAGAACAGGAACTGCCAGACTTTCAACCACAAACTAAGAGAGATCTCAGGGAGAGCTCTCTGGAGGAGTCTTCCCAGGAAGAATCTCATGAGCAGCTGAGCCCCCAACATTGGGAGAAATCCCAGCACCTCCAGGAACCAGCCCCCAAGTTATCTGGGACAGGTAAACACACCATCCTCTCTCCCTCTCTCTCTCTCTCTCTCTCTCTCTCTCTCTGCTCTTTATCTTCATCAGAATATCTCATGGTTCTGCAAAGACTTAGACCAGCGATATGTGTGTGTGTGTGTGTGTGCGCGCGCGCACATGCATGTCTGCCTTTTTAATGTTTTATGTAATCATAGATGTTTATTCCCAAAATTTTTCACTATTCACAATGGCAATGATACTATAAATGAGTGTGATTATATTATTTTATGTTAATGAATATTTGACAACCCAACGCATGGTAAGATTATTCTAGTGCTTACTTTTCTGTCCCTTTCAGAGCTTCTTATAATAAAAACAGATCCAAGCATAAGCACTGGTGAACTTCTATGCAACCTTTGACTGAGTTTCAGTAAAGTGATCTCATGTTTAGAAGGGCTGAAAGAATGTTTTGCCTAGTAGAGAAAAAGTCACATTTTGTGTTCTCTTCTTCCTCTTCTATGACATTGTTGTGCTTTAAACCCTTGTGTCTGTTTTTTTTGTCTCTGGTACACCACCAGTGTAATTTCTGGCCCTGTTCTACACAGCCCTATGATTGCTAAGATTGGCTGACTGACTTGGCCATTGTGGTGATGATGTGAATAGTCAGCACGCTAGAGAGCGAGTTACAAGATTAGAGCCTTATTTCCTTAACATTTGCTACATTCATTGTGACATTCTGTTTCATAGACTGACCCAGCTGCTCTAATACTAGAGAATGGGTTGCTTAGAAACAACTGAAACTTATTTCTTACAGTTCTGAAAGCTGGAGTCTGAGATCAAGGCATCAGCATGGTTGGATTCTGGAGAGGGTTATTTTCTGGGTTCCAGACTGCCAACTTTTCTGTGTCTTCAACATGGCAGAAAGGGAAGCAAACTCCTCTGGGCCTCCTTAATCAGCACAAATCCCACCAAGGGTAGAGTTCTCATGACCTAATCATCTCCCAAAGGCCTCATGTCTTTGTACTGTCATCATGGGAGTTAGGATTTTAACCCAGGAATTTGGGGGAAATGTAAACATTCAGTCCATTGCACTTTGGTTTAATTATTTTTAGAACTCAGGAAATGGAGACCTGAAGTATCCACTAGCAAAGCTTGTGACCCTGGCTGAGGTCTTGCTCCATAACCTTAGACCTTTGTGGTCCTGAAGAGAGTGGTCAGGAGAGGCATCAGGTATGCATATGCTGTTTCTCTCCTTTCCTTAGATCCCCAGGAGGGTAGCATCCCTGCTGCTCACCCTGTAGGTCCACCATTGCTGTCTTATGAGTTGCACTGTCCAACCTATAACCAGGTATGGTTATTGAAGTTTCACTATTAAGATGTAACTCACATATCATGTGTACTTTGAAGTACACAGTTCAGTGGTTTTTAATACAGTTTCAAAGTTGTACTACCATCACCACTATCTAATTCCAGAACCTTTCATCACCTGAGAAGGAAACTCACTATCTGTTACCAATCACTCCCCAACTTATCCCTTCTCACAGTCCTCTGGCAACTACTAATCTTTTTTTTTTTCTTTCTTTTTGTCTCTGTGGATTTGCTTATTCTGGGGGCATTTCATATAAATGGACTTACACAGTATGTGACTTTTTGTATTGGCTTCTTTCCCTTTGGCATAATGTCAAGTTTGATCCATGTTTTAGCATAGATCAGTGCTTCATTATTGTTTATGGCTGAATAATAATGCATTGCATGGATAGGCCATAACTTGTTTATTTACTTATCAATTGTTGGACTTTTGTTTCTGCTTTTGTCTATTATCAATAATGTTGCCGTGAGCATTTCTGTACAGGTTTTGTGTGGACAAATGTTTTCATTTCTCTTGGACGTATCTTAGGAGTAGAATTGCTAGGTCATGGATAATTCTGTTTCATTAGACCATTTTCCAAAGCAGCTATATTGTTTTACATTCCCACACCAACAGAGTGTGAAGATTTTAATTCCTTCCCATTCTTTGCAGCAGTTGTTAAAGTTAGTCTTTTTTAAATTACAACCATCCTCTTGGGTATGATGTGGTATCTCCTTAGGGTGGTTTTTAAAATTTTTTTATTTTGTGTGTGCGTGTGTGTTATTAGTACATACTAGTGACAGATAACAAATACATTCATCATGAGAAGTTGATATATATACATACTGCATCTTAACCCTTTTCATTTTCGGTTCCCCTTCCCTCCCTTCTCTCTTCCTTCATACCTAAATCCCCTTCCCTTCTCCAAAAGGTCTCCCTCTCTGTTTCTATCATCTTTCTTTTATTTTGCTTTTAAAATTATTTATACTTTGAGTTTTGCATATGAGAGAAACCATGCAATATTTCATCTTCTGTGTCTGACTTATTTCACTTAGCATTATGGTCTCAAGATGTATCCATTTTCCTACAAATGGATTAAATTTATCCATCTTTATGACTGAGAAGTACTCCATTGTATGTATATATACCACATTTATCTATTTCCCCTTAAAGTTCATTTGCATTTCCCCCAAAGAATAATGATGTTGAGAGCATCTTTCATGTATTTATTAGTCAATTGAATATCTTGTTTGAGGAAACATCATTCAGATCCTTTGCCCATTTTAAAATTCGGTGGGTGTTTTTGTCTTTTTACTGTTGAGTTTTAAGAGTTCTTTGTTTGTTTGTTTTGTTTTTTGGTACCGGGGATCGAACTCGGGTCCTTGCACTTGCGCAGCAGGCAAAAAAACCACTGAGCTAAATCCCCGGCCCTAGTTTTAAGAGTTCTTTAGGTATTCTGGCTACTAGACTTTATGTATAACTCGCAAATGTTTTCTCCCATTCTATGTGTTGTCCTTTCAATTTCTTGATGATATCTTCTTTTTATTTTTTATTTTTTGGTACTGGGGATCAAACTCGGGTCCTCAGCTTGTGAGGCAGGCGCCAGAACCACTGAGCTAAATCCCTGGCCCAAGATTTAGGAGGGTTTTTTTTGGTATCGGGGATTGAACTCGGGTCCTTGTGCTTGTGCGGCAGGCAGCGAAACCACTGAGCTAAATCCCCGGCCCTCTTGATGATATCTTCTGAAGCCCAAATGTTTTTAATTTTGATGTAGTCTTAATTGATTTTTTTCTTTGCTTGTGCTTTTGGTATAGTGTCATATCTAAAAATATCATTGCCTAGGGCCGGGGATTTAGCTCAGTGGTTTCGCCACCTGCTGCACAAGCGCAAGGACCTGAGTTCGATCCCTGGTACCAAAAAAATAAAATAAAATAAAATAAAATATCATTGCCTAATCCAAGGCTACAAAGATTTATAGAATTGTTTTTCAGAGAGAGATAGATTTACCTCTTATTTTTAGATCTTTGGTCCATTTTGAGTTAATTTTCATATGTGCTGTGAAGTAGGGGTTTGTCTTAGTCCATCTAAGCTACTATAGCAAAGTCCCTTAGACTGGGTAATTTTTTTTTTTTTTTTTGAGACAAGGTCTTGCTATATAGTTCAGGTTGCCCTTGAACTCACTATGTAGCTCAGGCTGGCTTTGAACTCAGCGGTCCTCCTGCCTCAGCCTCCTGAGTACTAGGATTACAGGCATGCATCACCACACCCAGCTAGACTGGGTAATTTATAAACAACAGAAATTTATTGCAGACAGTTCTAGAGGCTGAGAAGTCCAAGGGTAAAGATCAAGGCACCAACAGATATATTGTATGTGTGTGTGAGAGTGGGGGGGGGTCATCATAGATGACACCTGCTATGTCCTCATGTGGCTGAAAGACCAAAGGGGCAAACAAGTTCTCTCTGGCTTTTGTTTTGTTTTGTTTTTGTTTTTTTGGTACCAGAGATCAAACTCGGGACCTTGCGTTTGCAAGGCAGGCAGTGGAACTACTGAGCTAAATCCCCAGCCCTGGGTTTGTTTTTTTTTTAATAGGAGTACTAATCCCACTTATGAGGGGGTCTATCCTCATGACCTAATCACTTCCCAGATATCCCACTTGCCATTACAACTTCACTGGGGATTGTCAGCTTATGAATTTGGGGGGAGACACAAGCATTCAGACCATAGTAGGATCCAACTTCATTCTTTTTCTTATGGAAATCCACTGGTCCCAACATTATTTATTGAAAAAATGATTCTGTCTTCATATTTTATTTCAAGAACCTTCATTAAAATCAATTAGCTATAATTGTTTGGGGTGCTTATTTAAATTTAAATTTGAATTTCTTTCTTTTTGTTTTTTTGTTTTGTTTTGTTTTTTTGAGACAGGGTCTTGCTATATAGTTCAAGATGGTCTTGAACTCACTATGTATTCCAGACTGGCAGTGAGCTCACAGCGATTCTTCTGACTCAGTGTTCCAAGTACTGGGATTACAAGGATGCACCACAACACCTGGATTTAAATTTGAATTACAATTAATTAAAATAAAAAATTCAGTTCCCCAGCACATTTTCTAGCCACATTTCTAGCCACACTTCAAATACTCAACAGCCATGTAGTCATATTTGCCATATTAGGCAGTACACACACATTTTTCACCTCAAAGGCGGTCTTGCTTCAGATCTTCCAGCTTCCCATTGGCTATTCCAGCTCAGTTCAATGGTATCCTCAATCCTGGCAATCAGAAGATAGGGAATTTCTGTAATTAACATACATGTATAGGTTATATTTCAGTTTCTAAACAGATATGCTCTCACCTTTGAATGAGAGAAAACATGAGTCACCAGATCTTTTGAAGAGAAAGGGGTTGTTGATCAGTATCCATATAAATGAAGGTTATTTGTTGAAGTAGTTGTTGGTAGTGTCAAATTTCAGCTCTTTCAACTAGGCATGGTGGGGCATACCTCTGATCCCGGCTACTTGGAAGCTGAGGCAGGAGGATCACAAATTTGAGGTCAGCCTGGGCAATTTAGCAAAACCCTGTCTCAGAATAAAAAGGCCAGGTGTGATACTCATGCCTATAACCCTGGAACTTGGTAAGCTGAAGCAGGAGGATCACAAGTCCAGCCTGAGCTACCCAGCAAGTTCAAGGCCAGCCTGGAGGACATAGATCCTATCTCAAAAAACCAATACTAATAATAATAATAACATAAAATTAAAGTGTAGCTCAGTACACTGTAGAGTGCTTGTCTAGCATGCATAAGGCCCAAGGTTCAATCTCCAGCATCACACAAAAGTTTTTTGGTTACTATTAGCCAGGTGCAGCGGTACGCATCTGTAAACTGTAGTTCCAGCAACTCAGGAGGCTGAGGCAGGAGGATCATTTGAATCTAGGAGTTTGAAGTCACCTTGGTCAACATAGTGAGACCCTGCCAATAAATTCATTCATTCATTCATTTTCTTCTTTTCATTCCTTAGTTGATACTCAATTCTGATGAATTAGGTAAAGAGGAACAGACCATTTGAAGGAGGGAAGCGTTTGGAGAATTTTGTTCCCAACTTTAATACAAGTTAGTAACAACTCAGGAGCTAGAAATTCTGATTCAGCACGCTTGAGGAATGGTGGGGGTGGGTGCAACATATTAATAAGTGCCGGAGGACTGTAATGCACATTGCCAGTGGAGGGTCATACTCTGAGAAACCTCACAGTTATTTCTTAATATTTTTGCTCAAGTTCTTTCTTCTAAGTATAGAAAATAAAGCATATTCTCTCTAATTATAGAGGCCCCCAGAATAAGAAGTGACAACAAGGAAAATCCACAACAGGAAGGGGCCAAAGGAGCAAAGCCATGTGCGGTGCCAGCTGGCAGAGCCAAAGGGAATGGTCTGCAGAGCCCGGAAGCGAGGGGGGCAAACATGTGTGAGCCCTGGTTGCCACGGAGGCAGGTCAGCCCCCCAAACTCTCAGAAGCCATTTGCTCACTACCAGAGACATTGCAGGGAACTGGAATACATCAGCAGCCCCCAAAAAGGCCACCCACTGAGGGGATTGAGGAAAAACAAAGGTGGAAAAAGAGGCCTGAGCAGTTGTTTGCAGCGGCTGGGTCACCAGGCCACCCGCTCTGCCAAGAAACCTTACAAGTGTGATGACTGTGGGAAAAGCTTCACATGGAATTCAGAGCTGAAACGACATAAGAGGGTACACACAGGCGAACGGCCCTACACCTGTGGGGAGTGTGGGAACTGCTTCGGGCGGCAGTCCACCCTGAAGCTGCACCAGAGGATCCACACTGGTGAGAAGCCATACCAGTGCAGCCAGTGTGGGAAAAGCTTTCGCCAGAGCTCAAACCTTCATCAGCACCACAGGCTTCACCATGGGGACTGAAGGCACCGCTAGCTTTTCAGTCACAAGGAAAGGCTTTGTGTTTCTCCTACTACTACTTGCATGTAAATCACAGACTGACTGGTGACTTGCAAGGAGAGCAAGCAGCCCTTAGGGGGTAATGGTGCACATGTGGCCAGCCAGTGAGGGGGCCCCATGATAGGCTAACCAGGGCCCAGTAGCACAAGGTGACAGGGTAAAGAGACAGCAAGTCTGGGTGTTGGGATAAAGAGGACTGCAGTCGCTGCAAGAGGTGGGAATGACAGTGGAGGGAGAATCAGGATGACCAAGCAGGTGGCCCCTTCCTATTACCCCATCTGTTGTTTTATATCCTCCAAAATATATCAAAGCATATAGAGTTATGCATTTGCTGTCATTCCACACAAGTTACTCGTGTGTACACAGTTCAGCATTTTACTATAACTTAAAGTCAATATTCATTGGAAAATGTGTGTGGTGGTGCCTGCCTATAACCCCATCACTTGGGAGGCTGAAACAGGAGGATCACCACAAGTTTGAGGCCAGCCTGGGCTACATAGTGAGATCTTGTTTCAAAAAACAAAACAACAACAAAAAATCATTGGAAAATAAATCTCTAATGCTCTTTTTTAAATTCCTAGATCTTCATAACAAAAAATCAAACGAGAATATGTTCACATTGATATGAGGAGAGGTTGCCTAGTAAATGGACAGTGCTTTTATCAAAAAACAAAAAGGTGCCAGGTGCCATGCCACATACTTGTAATCTCAGCTATATGGGAGGCTGAGGCAAGAAGATCACAGGTTCAAGGCCATCCTGGGTGAATTAGCAAAACCTTGTCTCAAAAAATTAAAAAGGGCTGTGGATGTAGCTCATTAGCGCAGCCCTGGGTTTGATCCTCAGTATTGTAAAAATAAAATAAGTTGCATTTGAGGGATCTTTCTATATCAAAGCACTTTTGAATTTATAAAAAGAAAATTCACATGCTACCACAACCCTGGTACAAGAGAGGGAAAAGCTAACAGTGAGGAATAGTAGAGGGTAAAGGCTGCCCTGGGGATATAAGAATTGTGCCTGCTCTCCTTTCTCACCTAGTTCTTTGACTTCAAAGGGATGGTTGTACAACTCATTGACTACTAAAAATTATTGAAATGGGTTAATTTTATGATATGTTAAGTGTTCCTCAAAAGCATCTTTTTAAAGTGAAAAAATATATTTATATAACACATCAGAGTCTGAGAGCTAGGCCTGGGAGATCACATAATTTTACCCACCTTGTTTCTCAAAGTAGGAATTGCGACCTGATCGGCATACAATTCTAGATCACCCTGGGCAAGCTGGCCCATTTGTCAGGTTAGAGGAAACGTCTGGAGATTGGTGCACTACCTCATGCAGAAATAGGAGCAGGTAACATTCCTGCTAAACACCTGCATCGTTGGGTCTGTGCCAGTCACCTCATGACTGCAGCCTGTGTTCTGTCCCCCAAAATCCACATTCCTCCTGACTGCCAATGGACTAGTGCACACTTGGGGCCTTGGCACACACTCTTCCTTTTGCCTTTTGATCTTCCACTTCTCCACTCTGTCTGCCATTCATCTTACCAGAGCTGTTTTCATGAAGATCTAGGCTGACTTCTGTAGTCATGGCTCAGTATCCCTGCCTGGAGATACTCAGCCTGGCAGTGGTCTTGCCCACCAGGGGACATCTGGCTATGCCTGGAGACATTTTGGGTTGTTATGACTTAAGGGAAGGAGGGTTGGTCCTGGCCTCTGGTGGGTGGATGCTGCTCCAGGTCCTCCAGGACACAGGACAACACCCACAGCACTCACCTGGCCTGTCACATCAGTGGTGCCAGTGTTGGGAAGCTCCCACGCTCTTAGCAGTTCTTCTGGACAATGTGTTTTACATCATTTTAGCTTTTGTTCTTGGCCCATGCCCCACCCAGGAGAAATAGGTGTTCAGGAACTTGGGTAGTTGAGGCCTCTGACCTCAGGGCCACTTCTGGCTGAATTCAGAGATCCTCGTGAATGTCAGATTCACGGGCAGTGTCTGTCCTTTGGGCAGAGGTTTACTGAGAGACCATTGACCTTCCTAGCATTTGGTGTCCCTGGTGGGTCTAAACAAAGGTCTATTTTTCAACTACTATGATAATTTATGGGTAAATTTTATCTTCAGTATTCAGCCTGCCCCTCACCTCACTCCAGCCTTCAGCCTGACACTGGTCAAGGCATCTCTTTCTCACTGTTCTCCCTCACCCTGCCCCTTTTATCCAGGCCAATTTCACTGTCATCTCTGAGTTACTTCTGATTCTTAGTCACATCTGTGTGAGTTTCCTGTTGATGCTATGACAAATGACCTAAAACAACACAAACATCTCTTACAGTTCAGAGATCAGAAAGCCAAAGTCAGTTTCACTGAGCTGAAATTAAGCTGAGGGCAGGACTGATACCTTCTGGAGACTCTGAGATGAATCTGATTCCTTGATTTTTCTTCAGCTTCTGGTAGTGACCTACATTGTCTGCCTTGTGGGCCCTTCCTCCATCTTCAAAATACGTTCCTCCACTTTTCTGTCAAATCACCTTCTCTGACACTGGCTCTCGTGCCTTCCTCTTACAAGGATTGTTATGATTATGTCGGGCACCTGAGGATAATCGTCCCCATCTCAAGATAATAACATCTGCAAAGTCCCTTTGCCAATAAGGTAACATTTGCAGGTTTCAGTGATTAGGATGTGGATATATTTGGGGACCAAGATTCAGCCTACTGCACATCTATCTTGAGTCAGCTTAGTCAAAGAGGATTTCCTAGAGCAGAAACATAGTTCCACTTCACCACTTCACTTATTTATAAGGCACAGGGACCCTCCCTATGCTCCTCCCTTTCTCCCTTGTTTCCTTCTGTTGGTACTGGGGATTGAACCCAGGGCCTTTGCTCTGAGCTATATACGTGGCCCTTTTAAAATTACGTTTCCTCTCTTCAGATTACCAGATCAATAATTGTCTAACCTTAGTGTCTTTGGTGCCTGTTCAGCTGTGGACCTTGAAAAAAATGTGATAAAATCACTACTCTGAACACTATTCCTTTCCAAAAGGTGTCAAATCTATGATGCTGCTTTGCCTTACTGCCTGGTTTTGCAAAAGTCCCACCTCCAGCCACGGGTCTCATGGCCTGGAAGAAGGCCACTGAGTACTGTATTCAGAAGTAGGGTTCCCCTACCCTCCTTGCCTGTGTATGGGCCATCAAAGCCTCAGCATGAGACTCTGACCTGCTGACTTGCACTAGCCTCTGTTTGCAGCACCCCAAGGCAAGAAGAGCCTTTCTCCTTTTGTGTGTAGCTCTTGCCTGTAGAGAGGCCCCCTAGGTTCTGCTATCTTTTCCAGGCCCTGCCTGACACTTCTCTGTGTTGGGGTAGGGGCTAGGGGAGTTCTTGCTCAGGATATCTGGTCCCTGGTCTTCCCTGGGGAGATGGATGGAGCCAGGAAGCACCAGCAGAGAGGTAGGGATCTGCACATACAGATCTCTCTGAAGAGCATTTTCCATCTACAGGAAATGAGTTATAAACCCATCCCATAATACCACGCTCATTCCCAACAAAATTAACAGTAGATTCCTGACAGTACAACAGATGTTGTTGAAATTTCCTCACATTGTTTCTATAACAAAAATGCTATTTTTAAAATCATTTTATTGAGATATTTCACACACCAGAAAATCCAGGTGTTTACTACATGTACAGTTCAGTGATTACAGAGTGTATTCTGTATTCTGAGTGTGTGCAAGTTTCACCACAGTCTAATTTTAGAATACTTTTAGCACACAAAGAGAAATAGCATAACCATAAGTAGCCATTTCCCCACTATTGCTTCCTTAACTTCCCTATTGAGCATGGTATCTTCAAAGTTCATTCAGGTTATCATATATAAGGACTGTATTTTTTATTGCCATTGTACAAGTGGGCCACATTTTGTTTACCCATTCGTCTATGGTGGTCATTTGGATTGTTTCAACTTTTTAGCTATTGTGAGTAATGCTGTGAATACTGATGTACAAGTTTTTATGCTTTCATTTATCTTGAGTATTTACAGTGCCTAGAGATAGACTTGCTGGGACATATGTTAATTTTATGTTTAACTTTTCTAGGAAGTACTAAATTGTTTTCCAAAATGGCTGTACCAATATTAGAGTTATAATTTCTCTATATATCATCACCAACACTTGCTATTGTCTGTCTTTTTTTATTATTGCCATCTAGTGAGAGTGAAATGGTATCTTATGATTTTGATTTTCATTTCCTAAATGACGATGTTGGGCATCTTTTCATGTGTTCATTGATCATTTGTGTACCTACTTTAAAGAAATGGCTCTTCAGCTGGGCATAGTCTTACACACCTGTAATGCCAGTACTTGGGAGGCTGAGAGACCCAAGGATTGCCACAAGTTTGAGGTCACCCCCAGCCACTTAGTTCAAGGCCAGCCTGAACTACATACCAAGATCCTGTCTCAAAAAACCAACCAAACAAACAAACAAACAAAAAGAAATGCCTATTTAAAACCTCTTCCCATTTTTGGATTGGATTGTCTTTTTTGTTTATTTGTTTGTTTTTGTTTTTTTGAGACAGGGTCTTGCTATGTAGTCCAAGCTGGCCTTGAACTATGTGGTCCAGGGTGACCTCAAACTTGTGGCAATCCTCCTACCTCAGCCTCCCAAGTGCTGGGATTACAGGCATGTGCTACCATGCCCACTGGATTATTTGTCTTCTTCTTCTTTTGTTTTTTTTTTTATTTGTTGAGTTGTAAGAATTTTTTAAGTATTCTGGAATCAAGTTCTTGTTATATATATATGACTTGCAAACACTTTTTCCTATTCTATTGTAATACACCTTTACACAGTTTCAGTATATATCTTAAAAACAGCTGTCACAACCCCTGAACTGTCACTGAAACAGCACAACATTGCTGTGAATGAATACTGAGGGTAAGGGTCTTTGCAACCCTAGTTAGAACAGTTCCTGGCAGCCTTTTGGGTCATATCATTCATTGCCACAAGCTAGCCAAAATTTCAATCGTGTACATCTAAACTTTTTCATGGAAAATTTAAAATTTCTTTTAGAATGATTCTGCTGTTCAGAGTCTTGAATAAACATTTCTGTTACCAAGAAGATATTTATTGATTACTTAATAAGCAACAGATGTTACTATACAAAACCTCATTTAAACTAGGCATGATGGCACATTCCTGTAATCCCAACTCTCAGGAGGCTGAGGCAGGAGGATACCTGTGAGTTCAAGGCCAGCCTGAATTACACAGTGAGACCCTGTCTCAAACAAAACAAAAACCCTTATTTCATTCTTACTACAACTTTGGAGATAATGGTTCCCACTTTAGATGGAAAGAAGAAGAAATCTACACAAGTTCTGAGATTTTCAGTAACTCTGTAGACTACAACTAGTAAACAGCCCTAATCTTATAAGTAGATCTGATTTTAACATCTGTGGAGTTATTTTGGTTTGATTTTTTTTTTTTTTTTTGTACCAGGGATCAAACTCAGGACCTTGCACTTGTGAGGCAGGCACGGTGCCCCTGAGCTAAATCGCCGGCCCCAGTTTGGTTTGATTTTTTTTTTTTTCAATACCGGGGATCAAACTCCAGACCTTGTGCTTGTGAAGCAGGCGGTGGAACCACTGAGCTAAATCCCCAGGCCTGGTTTGATTTTTTTGTTTTGTTTTGTTTTGTTTTGTTTGGTACCAGGGATCGAACTCGGGAACTTTTGCTTGCGAGCCAGGCGCTGGAACCACTGAGCTAAATCCCTGGCCCCCTGGTTTGATTTTTTGACACAGGGCCTGACTATGTTGCCCAGGTTGACCACAAACTCCTGGCTGTCTTCCTGCTTCAGCTTCCAAAATAGTTGGGAGGACAGGTGTGCACCAATGGACCCAGCAATGTCTATGCTTTTTCATCACTGTGCTGAGAATTTGGGAAACAGAGGTCCTCGGTGGTTGTTCTTACTAAATCTGCTGAAGTCCTTAAGTATGAAAGGATATGGAAGGAGAAAGATGAGCTAAGAAAGCAAGTTTCCTAAGAAACATGTCAGTGGAGAAGAGAAGACTGAGGGGTCCTAAGTTTGAGAAGTAGTCCAGGAACAGAAGTCTAGGAAGGCTTTCCTGATTTAGGGCTGCATCTGAGTATGCCACCAGCAACTTGACTCTTCCAGGCTAGAACAGAAATACCTAAAAGATAAACAGGGAAGATACTCTTAAGAACAGGGTGGACAGAATGAATAGGCAAAATATGGTCCATCCATACAATGGATTTTTAATTAAATTAATTTAGAAGCACTGGAGATTAAACCCAAGGCTTTCCTATTGAGCTACATGGCCAGCTTCCCCCTTTATTTTTTATTTTGAGACAATGGCTAAATTTCTAAGTTGTCCAGGATGGGCTTGAAGGCCATCCTCCTGCTATAGCTACCCAAGGGCTGGGATTATAGGCTGTTACCATCATACCCAGCCATACAACAGAGTACTGTTCACCCATAAGAAGGAATGAAGCACTGACACACGGTACAACATGGATCAGTCTTGAAAACAGGTTCAGTGAAAGAAGCCAGACACTAAAGGCCACATTTTATGATTTTACTTGGGAAATGTGCAAAATAGGCAAATCTGCAGAGACAAAGAGTGGTTGTCAGAGGGTACAAAGAGGGAGAAATAGGAGAGGTATGAAGCCTTTTTCTGGGGTCATATTTGCACAACCTTGGGAATACACTAATAAAATCACTAAATTGTGCACTTAAATAGGGATAATTTTATTATGTGAATTAGAATTCAATTAAAAAAAAGACTGCGAGCAGGCCCCACATGCAGTGGACCCAATGCTCAGGGCAAAGATGGTGGCTGCCTCCAGCTAATGTCAGGGCAGTGGAAACAGTATCCAAAGATGAAGGTTACAAATTAGGAAATGGGAGAGGGGTGACATTGGCCCTAACCTTGTCCTGAGAAGATCCAAGTACTGTCCTGTGTAAAACAGAGAGCAGAACTGAGTGGATGGGCTCTTAGAAATCTGTCACAGTCCTAGAAGGTAAAACCCAGGAACTGACACCATGGGGAGGTTATAGGCCACATGGAGGCTGGGTTTTCAGGCCAAGGACAGTGTTGTGGGAAAGAGTTAAAGTGCTTATTTTACTTTCTTTTTTTTAAAGAAATGAATGTTGGGAGCCCATTCGGTGTATCCAAGTGTACATGAACTTTGGCTCTGGATCCAGTCCTGGCTCTAGTTCCTTTTTTTTTTTCGGTACCGGAGATTGAACTCGGGACATTGCGCTTTCGAGGCAGGCAGGGGAACCACTAAGCTAAATCCCCTGCCCTCTAGTTACCTTTTAGGAACCTCTTTCTTCAGCTGCAAGGTGAGAACACTACACTGCCTTAGGTTTAGGTGAGAAGTTCTGATGATGCATCTCCAGAGTAGTGAGTTCTTTGGTGCCCCTGGGCAATAGTTCCAGAAGACAGAAATGCCTCGCCCTCCAGAGATCTGGTCTCCAGAGAAGGTCTCCTAAGACTGGTCCCACCACCAGCAGAAGTGGGCAAGGCAAAGTTCAAGTCAGTGACTAAGTCTGCCTCTGACCACCCCTCACTCTTCCCTCCAAACCTTTCCACAGTAGGTCTACTGATGGAAGAAAAAATAGATTTTCCACACCCTACTTGTGGATTGATTCCTCTCCCACACCTGTGGCACTGTTAAGATAAGGAAATACCTGCAGCATTTCTTACCCACAACCCCCCCACTTGAATTGGGCCAGATGTCCAAACTAAAATAACAATTACCATGCCTTGCTAGCAAAAGTATGTGTAGACCCGAAGCTTTCCGTAAATCACATTGATAGAAAAAAAAGTTTTAAGTAGCTTAGTAGATTGAATGTGAAGGTAATTGTAGAAGCAAAATAAGTAATGTATTCCTTAAGATTTGCTTTTCCCGTTGCTCTTGATGTTTAAGGTGTTAACCAATAATTTAATTATAGGTAACATTTTAACCTAACAAAGTTGCAAATGCCTAAGTGAATTTACAATGTATATGTGCCTATCTTGTGTCTGTGACTTGTAGGTAGGAACTGGAATTGTTTTTACACGTCAAAGACCACTAGGAAGGAGATAATGACTAACAAAAAGCATAAAGAGAAGAGACTAACAAAAGAGGGGGGTGGAGGGGACTCTGACCAGTCCAGTTTGTGGCAGTCTGCCGGCTTGCAAGTAAACCTTATTTGTTTTACCTAAGTTCTGCATCTCCGAGCATTTCTTTCCGAGATTTCCATAATAGCACTAGCACCTGAGCTCTTGTCAGATATTTCCATAAAGGGGGCATCTGCCACTTTATGAGGTGAAACATTTCATGTTGAGACTGTCCTAGTTGTTTTAAGTTCTAGTAACCTGAGCAGGCAGCCTTGCCCCTGGAGCTTCATTGTTCCTGTGAGTACTTTAGAGAGGGAATGGGCAGAGGTGACAAGACGAGAAGATGGAGGGATCATGCTGTGGCCCCTGGAATGCACCACACCAGGTGAAGGCTTTGTAGATCTATACTGCTCTGAATGCAGGGAAGGAGCCTGCCAGAGTGGTGTTTCAGGGCCAAGATTGGGTAAAGCACATCAGGGACCCAGAAAGCTCCAGAAAACATGCCCTGGATGTCCAGTTCGAGGCACAGACCACACTAAGCAGAGTGAGTCCCTCGGGGAAAGGGCTGTTCTAGAAGAGGACAATGAGTGCCCCCATCCATCCAGAACTGTAGATCAGGCTGTTGGAAAGCAGCCTAATAATTTAAGCTGATATTCATTATCTTTAAATCTGATGTTAATTTTTGCATATTATGTATTTAAATTTTAACATATTACAGTTTTAAAATACATTATTTCATCTTTTACTTCAAAGATTATTTTCAAGGGTTTTTTTGGAGATAGGGTCTTGGTATATAGTTCAGGCTGGCCTTGAACTCATGGCAAGCCTCCTGCATCACCCTCCCAAGTACTGGGATTACAGGGGTTGGCCACCATCCCTGGCTAAAAGGTTACTTTTTATGAGAGATGTAATTCACCCTTGTAAATCTGTACAGTTTTGTAGTTTTTATTTTATTTTTTTTGAGACAGCTCTCATTATGTAGTTCAAGCTGGCCTTGAATTCACTATGTAGCCCAAAATGGCCTTTAACTCAGTGATCCTCTTGCTTCAGC